CCCGGCTCCCGCACCTGCCTCTCCCCGGAGCGGTTTCCATGGAAATCCCAGAGCTCAGTTCTCCCGGCTGAGGCGCTGTCACCCTGACAACTGCGACTCAGCGCAGCGCTAGGCGCTCCAGGAAGAATGTCAGGGGACGCTGGCTTTAAATCATCCATTCCGGGTTCACCAGGTGGACCCGAGGGCGGCGATATTTGGAGAATGCAGGGGGAGCAGCGCCAGCCAGCCAGGGTCGTTGTCGCAGGGCAGGGCTGCTGCTTCGCTCTCTCTCTCCTCCCCACCCAGCGAGTTTATTCTCCGACTGGAATGGGTTTCGTCATCCTCTCCAGCGTATTCCCTTCTACTTCTTCAAAGTTCTTTTCCCTCCACCGAACACTAACTCGTCCCAGGTAAGAACAAGGAAAGCCCCAGACTTACCTGGGAAATGGGAGAGCTGCTGGGGATAAGGTTAACTATGGGGGGCTTCATGCTTGGAAAATGAATATTTGTTCCCAACAGTTGGCCTGCGCCATCCAAGACTAACTGTTTCAGGAGAAGGTTTGGGTGGGGGAAAGGGGCAACGTGAAGGAAGAGATCACATTTACTACAAATTTAAATGTTCACACGTTACCTTGTCACTTGTGGTGAAGGACAGTTTACACTCATCAAACCACAAACAAATACTACAAGGTAAAATGAAACAACTTAACAAAGTTCAGGCGAGGCATAAAAAGACACACATGGACGTCCCATTCTGGTTTCTCCTTATGATAAATTATATATCCCATATCTGAGGTGTTAAAAGTTTAAAATTTGTAGCAGGCTTGGATTGATGAGATTTTATACACATTGTAGACATAATAGCAATCTCTGGGTTATGCCTGAAATACCTATGTACAAATGCATCTTTTTGACAGTCACAGATAAATGCATTTCTGAAGTTTCCTATGCATCCAACATTTAGAAAGCAAGTGACATTTCCACACTCCAAGGAAATAAGTGTGTGTAAACTAAAATATACTGGAGAACTTCTGCATAAAGCAAAAAGATCTTTTTTCAAGAGTCATCAAATTTGTATTTTGAAAACTCACATGTTGTATCCTGATTCTGCTTTAAAGCACATGCCATTTTTTAGAGGGGGACCTGGTGTTAACAATATTTAGATGGCTGGAGCAACGATGTTTATTTGTAAAATACATCTACCCAGCTATAGGACAGCTATCTACATTTCAAGTTTGAGGAAATGAAAACTATTAAGTAAATCATCATTGTTTCTAATAAAAATGAACAGTGAACATTTTAGAAAGCAGAAGTATAAGGGTGAGGAGGTTAAAAACACTAAGCACGCACAGCATGTGGAGCACATGTATGATAACAGCATGCTTGGATGCTGAGGCAGAAGGGTCACAACTTCCAGCCCAGAGTGGGCAGTTTTGTGACTTAGTGAGACCCTGTCTCAAAAATAATAAAAGCGGGCTGGAAATAGAGCTCACTGCAAAGGCTAGTTCAATCCCCAGTATGGCAAAACAAGCAAATAAAAACTAAGCAAAGAGATTGTCTTAGTTACCGTCTTTATCACTGGGACACAATACCCAAGACCATGATATTTAAAGCAGGAGAAGTTTTATTGTAGCTCACAGTTTGCAGAGGTTTCAGTTCATAGTTGGCTGGCTCCAAGGCAGGGCAGCAAGGCAGAGGGTCTTCACAGATGAGGAACAGCTCATGGCCTGGAGGCTAAGAAACAGAATGATCAAGGGAAGAGGAGGGAGGGAAACCCTACCAGGCCACACCCACAACGACCTCCTCCAACGAGGCTTCACCTCCCAAAATGCCTTTATCTTTAAACTCAGCAGTGGAGTAACACTGAGGAGCATCACTTCCTCACGATCCAGTCACCTCTCTCAAAGCCCCACCTACGAGTGCACTTGTCTTCAGGGGGACATCTAGATATAAGCCATAACAGCAATCATAAAAAATTCTCTCCAAAGAATTAAGAGCAACATGATTATATCCAGACTATAATACTAATTGGTAGTATTAAGTGAAATTCAAAGCAGTAGATAGTTATGATCCCACAGTTTCAAAATCATGTGTGTGTGTGTGTGTGTGTGTGTGTGTGTGTGTGCGCGCGCGTGTTATACAGATGACAGTGAAGGTTTGTAGATACTTTTGGCTTTCCACTTGCTAATTCCTTCCCCCTGTGCTGGGGATTGAACCCAGGCTCCCAGCATGCTAAGCACATGCTGTATCACCGAGCTGCCCCGTGGTTCCTCATTTACATATCCATGTGAATATTGCCAGTATTTGGAAGAGTGGTTAAGGCTGTAGTCAGGTAGAGCTGGTTCTATTTCCTCATGTGAAAGGTGAAAATAATAACAGCACTTTGTTGGAGAGAGATTAGAAGGATTGAGAAAATATCTGATGAAGGATTCATTCTTTAGAGCAAATGTGTTAGTGCTGATTTTTAGGTTATTTTTCTAGGGTTTTAATTCTAGCTTTGATATGTTTAAACCTTCAATTAGACCATATAATTATTTGTATCTTTTCACAACTTTGGGTTTTTTCTTTATTTATTTTAGATTAGTATTGATTTTGGCCTTGGAATCCAACCCAGGGCCTTTTCACTGAGCTACACCCCTAGTCCTTGTAAAATTTTTTTAAATTTTGAGAGTCTAAGCTGTTAAGATGTCCAGCCTGAGTTTATACTTGTGACCCTCCTGCCTCAGCCTCCCAGAGTGCTAGAATTATAGGCATGTACCACAATGCTGGACTCGTGATCCTCTTGCTTCAGCCTGCCAGAGTGCTGGAGTTACAAGAATGCACCCCTATGCCTGGTTCCCACAGTTTTACTTATATTTCTCATTCTTTTTTTTTTTTTTTTTTTTTTTTTTTTTTTCATTTTTTTTTTTTTTTTTTTTTTTGCTATTCAGAACATCTTTCTGGAATCCTTCTCCTTTTCCTTAAAGTAGATCCTCTATAAAGACTTATAATGAGACAGTTTTTAAAAAAAAACTAAATTGTAATAATGTCTTTACTTTGGTTTTGTTCTTGAAATATAATTGTACTTGACACGATTTTGGGTTATTTTCAGTCAGCACTTTGAACATATTCTACTTTCTCTGGCTTTCTCATTGCTATTGAGGAATCAGCTAGCATCTACTTTCATTTTTTTTTCTAAATAATCTGTCAACTTTGAGTGCTTTGTTCCATGCCATACTTTTATTCCATTATCTTATTTTAACAAAATATTAACATACTCATTTAGCATTCTGTGCCCAGCTGTGTCTTTGTAGGTTTACCTCAGCAGGTTGCTGTCTCAGCCTGTGACATCCTGGTTCCTTGCTTATTTCCTGAGTTTTACAGTTGTGAATTTGCACGCGTGGAGTTTCGCCTGTGGGAAGTCGCTGTGCAGTGCTCAGGTGGGTGGGGCCCCACTGCTGGCAGGAAGTGACAGGGACCACTTTCAAGTCAACTTTACCTGTGGTTTGCAGTCCATGCAGAAGTGTCCATTTTCGGCTCGCACAGGTGAAGTGGGAGCGTCAGCTGGGATTTCCCAAATGAGCATTTCCCAGGCTTCCCCCAAAGCCAGGCCTGGGGTGGGCAGTAAATCCTGCAGGCGAGTTTTCCCCTTGGGTAGTAACTGTGCTGTTTTGGGGGGATGGGTGGGGTTCTGGATTCCTATGGGGCATTTTTGCTTATATTTGCTGTTGTTGTTTGCAGTGCTGAGGATCAAATCCAGGGCCTTGCATGTGCTAGGCAAGCGCTCTACTGAGCCACCCCAGGCCTCCCCCTTGCTCAAGACCTGGACATTTTAACTCCCGTTCCTGTTTGCAGCTCTTTGGCCAGCGATTGGCAGATCCCCCAACTTCTCTGAGCCATCCTGTTCTCCAATGTGACCAAACAGCCTTCTACCAAGAGGCCTTCTGCTACCTTTCCTTCGCCACCAACCCAGCAGCACTTTGATCCAACTATTAAAAGACAGGCTAAAGATTCAGACATCCATTTCACTCAAGATTTGAAATTATCCTGAAAAAAGATGGTTAACATCCTTTGTGATTAGAGAAATACAAATCAAACCCACAATGCACACACATCTGTGAGCCCAGCTAGTTGGGAGGCTGAGGCAGGAGGCCTGCCTGGGCAACTTAATGAAGATCCCAAAAAAGAAGAAAAAAAGAAAAAAGAAAAAAGACTGAGACTATAGCTCAGTAGCACCTGGGTTCAATCCCCAATACTGTAAACAAAACCACAGTAAAATATCGAATGTTAAAAATTGAAAAAGATTAACAATGCAAATACTATTAAGAATGTGGGACAACTGAAACTTCCTACATTGCTGGAAGGAGTAAAAGGTGCTGCAGCCACTTTGAGGAACAATTTGGCAGGTTTTTAAAAATTGTTTTGTTTTGTTTTTCAATAATGGGAATTGAGCTCAGAGCCTTAGCACTGGGCCATATTACTGGTCCTTTTCGGGTTTTATTTTGAGGCAGCTTATGAAGCTAATCACCCACATTCCACATGTATTCCTTTTCGGTTGCTGTGACAAATCCCCCGACCTTAGCACATTGATTTGTTATCTCAGGTCTGTGGATCGGAGGTCTTGTGGCCAGGTTTTCTGCTTGCAACATCACAAGACTGAGTTGAAGGTGTTGGCCAGGTTGAATCTTCTCTCAGAGGTTATGGGATGGGATTTTCCCAAGCTCCCAGGTTTGCTGGCAGGAACCAGTTCCTCTGGTTGCAGGACTGAGGCCCCCATCTCCTGCTGGCTGATAGTTGTGGTCTCTCTTTCCCTTTCTTTTCCCAAAGCCACCTGTATTTCTTTTTAGGGTCCCTCCATCTTCAAGCCAGTAAGGACACACTGGATTTCCCTGTTGTGCTTCATCCCCCAGGTGTCCTTTTGCAGAAGCTTTGTCCCCAGCATGCTGATGCTGAGAGGTGCTGGGCCTTTAAGAGGTGGGGCCTAGTGGGAGATAGTTAGGTCTTAGGGCCCCTCCCTCAGGAGCGGGGTTAGTTCTTCAGCAGGTAACCATTTCCTTTTCCATTTCCCACCATGTTGGACACAGGAAAGGGAGTCCTTACCAGAACACCACCACACTGTTTGTACCCTTCTGTCCCCCAAACAATGAGGCAAATAAGTCACTTTGCTTTATAGAATACTCCACCTCAGGCATTTTGTTATAGCGACAAAAATGTACCAATACACTCTTTATATTTTCTCTCTGACTTTCTTGCCAGTTTTTAAAAGGGTACCCTGAACAAATTAGGCCAACTTCGATAATCTCCTTTTGCCTTGTAAGATAACATGTTTGTGTTGGGCCAGGGATTTAGCTTAGTGATGCCACACCTGCCTCAAAAATGCAAGATCCTGAGTTCAATCCCCAGTACCCCCCAAAAAATATGTTTGTGGAAGTGATATTATATTCATATGTTTCACCCACACTTGGTGGTTGTGTTATTCAACCACCAAGGTCACTGAGAGCCATTCTTAGGATCCTGCCATTCCATGCCTAGGGACTGACTTACTTTTTAGATAAATAAAAGTATACGTCTGGTCAAGGACTTGTAGGTGACTATGTCAACAGCTAGGAATCAGAAAGAGCTCATGTCCATCAATAATGAATTCATGTCCATCAATAATGAATTAATAAAAAAATGGTGGTTTATCCATCCAATGCAATGTCATTCAACAATGGAAAGGAACAGACTCAAGTTTGGTGTGGTAGTGCATGCCTGTAATCCCAGTCCTCGAGGAGGCTGAGATAGGAGGATGGCAAGTTTGCACCCAGCCTGGGCAACTTAGTGAGTAGGCAAGATCCTGCCTCAAAGGGGTGGGAAGGTAACAGTGCACAGGCCCTGGGTTCTATCCCTATACCACACACACACACACACACACACACACAGAAAAGAAAAAAGAAAAGAACAGTCTTCTGACTTTAAAATGGGGGGCTGGGGCACTGGCTTTGCTGGAAAATTGCCAGCTGAGGGAATATGCTGTATCATGATCATGGCAGTGGTTATTTGACCCTGTACACTTACTACTCATTGAGGTATGCAATCAAAATCGATGAATTTCATGATATGTAAATCACTCCTAGTCTTAGTCCACTTTCTGTTGCTATAACCTAATGCTAGACTCTAGGTGATTTAGAGAGAACAAAGGCCCATTCAGTTCATGGTTCCAAAGGTTGGGAGTTCCAGGGTTGAAGGCTGCACCTGGTGAGGTGTTTCACTCTGGTAGGGACTCTGCAGAGACCCAGGGTGTCACAGGCACCAGGTGTGAGAGGAGCACATAGGAGAGACAAAGCCCAGACAGGCTTTCAAGAGACCCTTGAGTTAATGTGTTGGCTCTCTGTTGCTATGACAAAATACCTCTCAGCAAATCGACATAGAGGGAGGAAAGAGTTAATGTGGCTCAGTCTCAGAGGTTTCAGACCATGGCTGGCTGACCCTGTTGGTCTAGGCCTGCGGTGAGGCAGAACATCATGGCGGCTGGACTGTGTGTCTGAGAAGGGGGTCCCTTCTCATGGTGGCTGAAAGGAGAGTGAGGGCGAGACAGACAGGGTGAGAGAGAGAGAGGAGGGTAAGGGCTGGGGACATGATACATCCTTCAGGAAACGCTGCCAGTGACCTGCCTCCTCATCAAAGCTCCGCCTCCTAACATTTCCACCATTTCCCCACATCCACTCACTTAGGAACCCACGGGTGGATTCATCCATTGATGGGATCAAGGCCCTTGTGCCCCACATCCGCCCCTGCAGGGCCAGTCCTTCAGCACGGGGCTCTGGGGCTCACGTCATCCTGACCTCAACACCCAGGCCTGATGGCCCCACCCACTTGCAGGAGCGCGGCCCTTGTCACATGATCACGTGACAGTCCCCTCCAGCCCGCACACCTCACGGGAGTCTGTCGACATTCAAACTGCAGCAGGCCTGACAAAATGAGCCAAACTCAAGAACACGCTTTTTATATTTTGTCCAGCAACTCAAGGTGCTCTGTAATAGAAGCTTCTCTACCCATGTGATCCATAAAATTCATCCAAGGTTTTCTTCGTTTTTGCAGCGCTGCAGACTGAGCCGAGGCCTTGAGATAGGGGCACCTGTCCTACCGCTGTGCCACACAGCCCCTCCGAGACTCCCTTCCACTGCCCGATGGGCCGTCACGGGTCACTCGGTCATTATCTGCCTCCTCGGACCAGGCAGTGAAGCTCAGGTCACATCCTGCACACTCGTGGCTCGCTGGGCGCCTGCTGAAGGAAAGAACAGCCCCCCCGGGGCAGTTCGACCCCCGGTACCAAGAAAACAAAACAAGACAAAGTACTTTCTTCATACCGCCTACATTTGCACTCACTGGTTAGGAAAATTCAGCAACTGACTCAGGACGAAGGGGCAGAGAACTAACGTGCTCGGGACATGATTTCAGGCTCTAGATATTTTCCCAGAGAAGGGGGAGGAGTCAGTTACTGGGATAGGATAACAACAGCTACTGTTGACTGGGTGCTCCTCTGTACCAGGCCCTGATCTCACTGTGTGCCACGCTTTATCGCATGTCACCCTCACAGCTCTGTGGGAGGGGCTGAGGCAGTCGTGGCAGAGGGCAGTGACTTAGCGGACGTAGAGCCCAGGGCGCACTGAGCAGCCTGGGAGGTGCCCAGCCTGGTTGTAGGTACCAGCCCCTGCAGGCTTTCTTTATGACTGGTGCGGAGCCCTCCTACGGAGCTACATCCCTAACCCTTTTCATTTTGGGGCAGGGTCTCGCCAAGTTACTAAGTTTCCCAGGCTGGGCTCAAACCTCCAGGCTTCCTGTCTCTGCCTCTCAGAGTGATGGGATTACAGGTTTAGGCCACCACGCCTGGTTTACCTCTTAGCTACACTTTCATTTAGTTCACCTGACATCTTGTGCAAGTGGGGAACAGTTCATCGTGCAGGCGAGGACCCTGATATGGTCGTTGTTAGATACATATCCTGCCCTGTAGAAAATAAGGCAGAAATGAAATTTCCCACCACCAACAGCTTTTGTTGAAGAAAAGTCTCTTAGCAGTGGGAGGCGCAGATGCCTTCTGTCATTGGAGATAAGCTGTGGGGGGTCTTTTCAGACGAAGCCTGCACTCATCGGAGCAGGGAATAAAGTACACCCCACAAAGCCGCTTAGTGACTTAGTCAGGTCTTGTTTCAAACAGCAAAACAATACAAAAGGGCTGGGGATGTAGCTCAGGGCTTGGGCCCTGGGTTTGTTCCCAGTACTGGGCATGGAGGGGAAGCAGCCTGGCAAGGGACAGTAAAGATGCAAATGCCGATGAGCCCAGCTGGCTCTCTCCCCCTCAGTCTACACCAGCCTTGGCAGATTCCTGGGAATGCTGCGGGCGTGAGATTCGCAGTCAGTGGTTCTTGGCTGGAACCGGACGGTGGGTTGAACTGGATCCAGGCAGACACTGTATGGGCCGGTGCCAGACCCAGGTCACCCCTTGGACCGCACTGTGAAGAGAACCAGCCCAGGGATTCTGCTCATCCGGGATCTTGCTCTCAGCCTTGCCCTCCTGACGGCACCCTTCCACCCTCCCTAAAGCATTGCTTCCTCACAGTGCAGATGGAAGAATCCCTCACACGAATCCACCGAATCTACAAGGACCCTTTTAGAACTCAGTCGAGAAATGGCAGAGACCATTCCCGGGAGATCTCCACTTCCTCCATCTCCCGTGGAAACATGTTCTTCCAAAAAAACTAAGCTCTCTTGAGACACATTAAATAGAATTTGATTTTGAAAGTTTACATTTTCCAGACACAGAGCAATTCTTTGTCTGAATTTAGCAAGTCTGACACTGCATTAACACTCACTCTGTCTAGTGTCTTCTGAAAACAGTGAGTCACCTGCAGCTCCTTGGGTGTTTGCAGAGGGGACGGAGGAGCCAGAAGAAGCAGTATTTAGAGAGTGTCAGATCTTGGAGGCTTCTAAACCTTTATTTTGTTTTATTTTTTGGTATCAGGGATTGAACTCAGGACCTTGCGCTTGCAAGGCAGGCAGCAGCACCACTGAGCTAAAATCCCTGGCCCCTAAACCCTTATTTTTTAAGACAGAGGGTCTTGCTATCTGAACTCCTGGGCCCTTGCAATCCCCCGCCTCACCCTGGATAGCAGCCACCCCATTACACTCACTGGGCCTTTGTTTATGGTTCTGCCAGGTTACCTGCTGGGTGGGGCAGGCGCTGGGATGTGGAAGGGGCTGGCTGCGGAGACCCTCTGGGCCACTGTGACGGCCAGAGCATTGCGTCTTCTGGTGCTGGCTGATGACTATCCGGATGGACAGAATCTCTCTCCCTTTCTCACAGCTTGGTTCTCATTCTGTCTGCACAGAAAGTGCGGGCGGGCCATTTTCTTGAACACACAACTCTCTTCCCATCTGTGCTGTCATCCCTGGGCTCTTCCCTGCCTGGCACAGCCTGGTGGACCCCTGGGGCGACTGCCCGTCATTCCAGCGCCTCCTGTGAGGGCAGTGTGCTCCCGGTGGCAGCTGCTGCTGCTTCTGGCCTGACCTGTTCCGTTTCCTGGTGTCTCTCCCTCAGCGGAGATGCTGCAGGGCTTGGGGCTTGACAGTCTCTCCAACACCCGCTTGGCATTCCCCTCCTGTGGGATGAGGTTCAAACCCTTCCACCTGGGGTTTAGGGCACCTCATTTTCCTAGTCAGCCCTTCCTCCTCTTCCTCGTGCTTGGACATCGGAAGGGCGGTGACACGTGTGACACGTGTGGTGAGGGGAAGGATGAGGACTCTGCAGTGTCTACCATCGGGCCACAGCGGTGCTTTACTGACCCGCGGGGAAGAGCATTGGGAGGGCCGAGCTCAGCACGCGCCAGGCCCCGGGTTCAGGGACCAGGCCCAAAGGAAAACGTGCATGGGGACAATAACGAGGGATCATATTTGTGTGTGTGTGTGTGTGTGTGTGTGTGTACATAACTACATCATGGCTAGGAAATAACTAAATAAATTTTAGCAAGGGGAAAAACTACCCATTATTCTTTCCCTAAAGCAAAAACTATTCTCATAATGGCCCATTCCATTCCCCCTTTGGCCAAAAATGCATTTTATATGTTGGATGTGGAACATACGCACTTTTGTTTTCTGATATAGGCTCTGCCGTCCTGTGGCTCCTCTCCCCCACAGCATGCCGTGTCATCTCTATTTCCATTTTAGCAATTACTTCCCTGTACCACATAGGTATTTGTGCAGCAACTGCCCTATTCTTGGAGGGGCGGGAGAAGGCCATAGTTAGCTTTATGTTCAGAACATCACACAGGGGCCTGGCACACAGCTGGCCCTGCTAACAGCCTGCTGAATGAGGGATTATAAGTACAGGACAATCAGAACAGATTAGTCCCAACTGGGTTTTTGGTTTTTTTTCTTTCTTTCTTTCTTTCTTGATCTGAAGACTATGAGTTTGTCCAGAATCCAGAGTCAATGAGATCAGAGACATTCAGCCCGGGGGTGATGGGAGATCCCGGTATTTGCAAAGTCACCTCCACAGGAATCTCACTGAGATTTAATCTACTACAAGATGTATAGTGGGGCTGGGCATGTAGCTGGGCAAGCACAGCAAGGTCCTGAGTTTGGTTCCCCATCCTGGGAGAAAAAGGGGGAAATTAAGTAGTAAACCGGAAATCTCCACAGACACCTTTGTAATAAAACAGAAGGAAAAGCCATCCTCGCAGAATTAAAGCAGAAGAGCAGGCCGCCAACGCCCGCATGAAAAGCAGAACCCCAGAGTAGCATCAGATGCCCACAGGAAAAGAAGATGGGAGCCCAGAATTTCACAACCAGCTAAATGTACTTTCATGTGAAGGATTCAAACAAGCTCATCCACATGGTGGAACTCAGATTAGACATGTTCCTTGTAGAACTAAAACTAATTATGGGCTGAGAAGAAACGTCCATACTATGTTGTGGCAGAACAATGTGCAATGAGGTATAGAACTGTAAAGCGTGAGTGGGGAGAAAGGAATACGTGCAAACGTTTTGGGGGGACTTGAGGTGTAGCTTAGTGCAGTGATAGAGTGTTTGCTTAATATGTTTAATCCCCAGTATACCCCCCTCCAGAAGAAAGAAAAATGTGAGCTCTCCTCCGTAATTGTATGGGTGAAGGTAGTGATGAATCTGAGGCTGACATACAAGCAATGTGGGCTGCAGTCAATGAGTGTTTGTGGAAGAAACTAATCCCATCATCCTTTAAGAACCAGGATTTTCAGTGTGCAAGGAAATACAGATAGACAAGAGATTCAGACAAGAACTAGACAGCAGGCTAAATAAAAACCCTGCAGTCCTGAATGAAGTTGGAATTCTCAAGGCAAATTCAGGAGGTATTTTATCTATCTAATCCTATTTACAGACAAGGCCTAAAAACAATCCCCACTCTAGCTGCAAAGAACATTTCCCACCAAAAGAAGCCAGGCTGTCCTGCAGGAATGCTTAAATCCCAGAACAAGATAAGCTTGGATCATCTTTTCATACCCGATATCAGTGTGATCAGAGACAGAGTTACACCACAAGGACTCAGAAACCAACCTCAAGAGGCACTGGCCACACACCAGACAACTGCAACATCAAGGAGCTTAATGAGTACCACTGGTTGAGAAGCGGAAATAGCTTAAATGTATGAGCTCATCAGGCTATCAGTAAGTCTCACTGGTCACCTTCAGAGGGTGACAGGGAATTGTCTGATTAACTATCATATGTACAATCCCCTGCCACTTAGGATAAAGGCAACAATCAACAGTCACATGATGCTTATGGGTTCTGTATTTGAGGACACTGGGCAGGAAATGGCTTCACATGCCTGTCATCCCACCTAGGGGCATAAAGTGGCTGGTCCTGAAATCACCCTGAGGTTATTGCACTGTGCTCTAGACCTGGGCTGGGAGCCTGTGCCCCTGGATGCTGTTAACCAGAGTGCTGTGTGTGAACCTTGGAGGGGCATTGCCAGGGTCTCCGAAGACAGCTCCCGGCTCCCAGGCTGCAGGAAAGAAGACAGAGGCGGTGTGACCTTTTCTGACACAGGCATGAAAATCACCAGCTGTGGTCTTCATGCAGCCTGCGGTTTGCAGCAGTCATGTGCCCACCCAAATTCAATGAGGGCAGGAGACCTAGAGCCTTACAGGCAGGAAGGCCAAAGAATCTGCAGCCATTCTTTAAAGCTAGCATGGGGATTAATTCATTTTCTTGAAAACTGAGTAATTCAAACAAAAAAAGCAAAGCTTTTTCTATGTGAACTTTGCCACTGAGAAATTATACGTGAAGGGCAGCAATACCTTACAAAAGTACTGTAGCTAGGCCAGGGGAGTTGCTGAGCAGTATAGTGCTTGCCTGGCAAGTGTGAGACCCTTGGTTCCATCCCAGTACCACACACACACACACACACACACACACACACACACGCACGTGCGCGCACGTTCTGGCTAGTTAAAAACAGTAAGGTAAAAATTTCACAGCACCCATACATACGTTCAATTTGTGTGTATCTATTTAACATTTTAATTTAAACTTTAAAAAAATGGTAAAATTAGAATACCACCATTTTGCAAATCCCAGTAAACTAATGGTCAGAGCAGCTGGGTATCAACATTTGGCGACATCATAGACACCAATGCAACGAGTGCCTCATGAAAGAACTCAGCGCCACCTAGTGTGTTCCCTAAGGCCTGCAATATGAGTCTGAACAAATGGACTCCGAGCTCCCAGGCGCAGGAACTCATAGAAGATAGAGGAGCATGTTGCATCAC